GGGAGGGACAGAACTATGGTTCAAAATGAGGCCAGTCAAAGTCCACATCTGTGGACTAGCCTGTGATTTTAGAAAACACAAAGGGAGAAATTAAAGGTCATAAATGCAACAAATAATATAAGACACAAGAGAAAATGTTAGTGAGGAATGTTTATGGTGTGCATGTGTGTGTGTTCAGTCATTAAGTCGTATCTGACTCTTTGCGACCCCATGGACTATAGCCTTCCAGGCTCCTCTGTCCATTGGAATCTCCAGGCAAGATTACTAGAGTGGGTCGCCATTTCCTCCTCCAGGAGATCTTCCCCACCAAGGAATCGAACCTGCATCTCTTATGTCTCCTGCATTGCAGGTGGATTCTTTACCACTAGCGCCACCTGGGAAGCCCATGTTGATAGTGTAGTAAATTACAAAACCTTATCAGTGGGTATTTAAAAGCATAACTTTAAATAACTTTCAGGATGTACATACACATATAACATAATGCTGTACATCATATACTTACATACACTCTGGAGACTGGAAATTGAGTGTGTTTGCATTCTTTACACTTTTGGGAATTGAGAAAGAATTGTTGCCACTCCAGTATAAAAGCAGACTTGTAAAAGATTCTTAAACATCAATGATTACAACAAATTGATTTACTTTTATTTCCTGTATGATGTGAAGGCAAGTTAAGACTATACAAATATACAATATCGGGATGGGAATCAGAAGTTTATCTTTTTGAAAATATATCACTTGCCTATCTTATTTTTCTACCAGAAACAGGAATGCTGAAGAAATAACTGCATGCCTGTGGAAACTTTATTTTCCTGTGGTTTCCAGTCATTGCAGACTTACCCTCCCTGTTATCCAGGATGAGGGTTAAAATCCACAAGCAAAACCACACATAAGTGGGCTTGCAGAGGCTGAGCCTCTAAAACCACATGAAGATGGATTACAGAGAGGCGAGTGTCACTGCCTGTAAGTAATGCAGCAGGGACAGTAAAGCCAACATAACCGAGAGCGGTGCTCCCTCGGGACAAGGACCGTGCTTCATTCTACATCATGGTACTGAGCCTGGAACCGAGTGGAGAGCATAGAGTCTAGCACAGAGCAGGTGTTCAGTTTCCTGCATTTAGAGGATTTTATAACCCTCCAAGCATTCCAAGTATTCAATAGAATTGAGTTATATATTTAAAATGAAATTTTAAGCTTGAACTCAAGAAATTAAAAACATTAAGAAAATAGAAGCCTGAACCCAAGAAATTAAACCATTGCTTTTTTCAAAGTCAAGAATCTTACTATAAGCACTTAGAGTTCAACCCCTCAATAAAGAAGTTGTCCACTTTCTATTTTGGACTGTGTGATACACTCTGACTCTCAGCTTCCCTAGCCATACCATTTGGGTTCATGGGCACACAACGTTCATCTAATGATATTATCCTGAATTACACAACACAGGATAGCCTCACAAGGCTAAATTCTGTTTAACTGAGAGTTGAAAGATTAGCAAGCTGAGCCCTGTTAAAATTTGCAAAATGTGTTCCAGTTATACAAGAGGATGTCAGAAACAAATGGACACCATCCCATCCACCATGTGAACACTGAGACGCACTTCTAACATGTGCAAGGCCTTTCTCTCCTCACAGTTGGCCAAAAGGCTCACAGTGCCAATAAGGATAAATTGAACTGGTCAAGTTTCACAAAACTTGTATGTCTTAAACAGATCCAGAGATCATTTTACTACTCCTAACTATATATCCAAGAGAAATGAAGATGTACGTCTACACAATAATGTGTACATGAATGTTCAGAGCAGTTTTAGGCATAGTATCCAAGAAGACATGTGAATAAACCAAAATCTAACTGATGAATGGATAAATATAGACATATCCATACAATGGAATAGACTTATGTTACTACATGGATGAATCTTGAGAGCACACTAAATGAAAGAAGGTGGTCACAAAGATTGCTTACTGTGTGATTCCATTTATATGAAACATCCAGAAGAAATAAAAAGTAGATTAGTAGTTGTGAGAGGCTGCTGGTAGCAGGAAAATGGGGGTTTGAGAGGAAATAGGGGGGGTGATTTCTTAAGGGTACAGGGTTCTTTTGGGGTCAAAGTGTTCTAAAATTGTTTTGATGGGGTCTTCCCTGGTGGTCCAGTGGTTAAGAATCCACCTTGCAATGCAAGGGACACGAGTTTGACCCCTGATTGGGCAACTAAGCCTGTGTGCTGCAATCAGAAGGGTCTGTGTGCTGCATGAAAGATCACACATGGCACAACTAAGACCCAATGCATTCAAATACATCAGTGTTAGAAGAAGATTGTGATGATGGGTACACAACTTTGTGAAAATACCAAAAAAATGCCACGTTGTATACTTCAGATATATAAATTGTATGGTATGTGAATTATATCTTAATAAAGTTGTTACCAAAAAAACAGAAAATCATGCCAGGGGGTCCAGGCCTCCTGGAGGTGGAACCCAGGGCCGTCTTGGTGGGTACTGGGAACATAGCAGATCCGAACATTTTGGCACCAGGCTCCAAAAATGAGGTCTAATAGACTCTCTCAACTGAATCAGAATTCATCTGGTCAACTTTCCTCGGGCAACTCTATGTGGTCTGTTAAGTTCCAAGGACCCAACATGCCATGCTTTCCCATCTGGAGGGCCTTCTCGGTCAGGAAAAAACTGAAGTCAAGGATGACAGAGTACTAGATGCAAGACTAATTCTATCAATGGCAGTATTCAAAAGCCTGAGATTAATACAGTAGATTTGGAGGTATGCAAGCAATAGCCAGGGGCTTCCCAGGTGGTGCTACTGGTAAAGAAAGTGCAGTCACTCAGTTGTGTCTGACTCTTTGAGACCCTGTGAACAGCAGCCCACCTGGCTCCTCTGTCCATGGAATTCCTCAGGCAAGAATACTGAAGTGGATTGCCATTTCCCTGCCTGCCAATGCAGGAGACGAGTTCGATGCAGGATCAGGTTCGATCCCTGGGTCTGAAAGATCCCCTGGAGAAGGGCATGGTAACCGACTCCAGTATTCTTTTCCGGGGAATCCCATAGATAGAGGAACCTGGCAGGCTACAGTCCATGTGGTCACAAAGAGTCAGACACAATTGACTGAGCAGGCATGCAAGCATGCATGACTATCTCTGGAGGGCTTCCCCCGACTCATCAGGAGAGTACCAGTTCCCAGATTACGAAGGGCATATCAGTCTTAAGGCTTCCAAGATATAACAGAAAACATGTCCAGAACCCTGAACCCAGAGGTTTGGGCCAAAGCAGACATGAAAGTGAGGAGGAAAGTGAGACTTCTATTCCTGGGAGGGAAGAGACACAGCAGACATTTAGTGTTGGGTGAAGCAGGCTAAACTCCTGGCTAATTGAGGTAGGCTTCTAGGAAGCAGGGAGAAGCAAGCAAGAGAGAGAGAATCTGGAGGCAGATTAGAGTTCTTTTCCTAATTTCACAGGGATACCACCATATGATCCCTGGTGGCTCAGACGGTAAAGCGTCTGCCTGCAATGTGGGAGACCTGGGTTCAATCCCTGGGTCGGGAAGATCTCCTGGAGAAGAAAATGGCAACCCACTCCAGTGTTCTTGCCTGGAAAATCTCATGGATGGAGGAGTCTGGTAGGCTACAGTCCATGGGGTTGCAAAGCGTCAGACATGACTGAGTGACTTCACTTTCACCACCATGTGAAAGACAGTAGCTTAATTGAGGCCTAGGGGTAAAGCACATGCCATTTCACCTGGGTTTACTGATGGGCTGGTGTCCAGGATAGGTGGATTTACAGGTTGAACTACACAGGAAAGAGAAAGACAGATACCTCAAGTCATAGCGACTGGATGGCAAGAACGGAGAATGCACTCCACCTGCCTGGGGAAGAGGCCAGGGCACAATGACTGGTACACAAGCTCTTAAGACCTGATGGGGCGTGCCTAGTAAAGGGTGTAGGGCTGCCAGGAGGAGTGGAGCAGGCTGTTGAGCCAACTGCCTCCAAAGGTAGCAGCTTCCTTAGCTTTCCCACCACTGGCTGGCACTGAAGTCAAAGCATTTCTTTCCTTCTTTCTTTTTTTCTTTTTTCTTTGACCATGCCATACGGCATGTAGGATCATAGTTCCCTGACCTGGGATCAAACCCATGCCCCTTGCAGTGGAAGTGCATGGACTTAACTGGACCACCAGGGAAGTCTGGTTAGAACATTTCTAGGCCCAACTCCAGCCACGACAGCTGGCTGGAAGGCACAGTCAGGAGTCAGTGAGAGGATGTCTCCTCTCTGGGAGACATCTCTCTGGGTTGCTGAGAGAGGAGTCCCTTTCGTGTCAGTAGAGGATCTGGGTTTCCCACTGATTATTTCTGTCCTTTTACTTCCAACAGACAGAATGACTATCTGGACTTCTCTCTGCTCATTCACTCCCTTTCGGATCCTGGAATGCTTGAAGCACCTTGGGGCTAATTTCCACCCCAAAGGGGCCACCTGACAATATGACCACTTCTTAGTCCTATCAGGGTCCCTGGCTATGTGTACACACATGTACACACACATAAATCATGGTGATCAGTTTGCTCCATACTGGTTTCTGGTTCAATGTGCAGGTACGAATCTAAAATATTTTCTGAGGATAACTTCTGAGCATCAGATAAGGCAGTCCCAGGCTGCCTCATTCTGTAATTCTGACTTATGCACAACACTACCTCAACTAATCATTTCTTGCATTTTCCTATTTATTCTCTATCAATCAGTGACCTCTGTAACCATCTCAGTTAGGCAAATGCTTAGGAACACAGGAACACAGGATCTAGTTCCACTGTCCTTTATCTTTCTAAAATAATGATGATGAAAACTGAAAGAAAGAAAAGGCACAGTTTTCAATTATTCAAATGACTTCTCCTCCTTTGGACTTCTGCTAGTTTGTAGATGAGGCTTTACCGGTTTAGTATTGCTACTTCTCAAACCATCAGCAACGCCAGACACAGCTGTCCCTTAAGTAAAAGATCAAATACCTCCCAAACAGGTGGCTGTGCAGGGGGTGAAGCCAGCGTATTCCCAGTCGTAGGTCGTCTCACTGTCCTGCTCCTGCAGGGAGGCGGCCAGCTCTCGGGTGGCGGGGCTCTCATCACAGGGCTGCAGGAGGCAGGGCCGCTCTGTGGGCAGCCGGGGGCCCTCACACTCTTCCTCTGGCAGCTCAGTCTCAGTTTGCGTGAAGGTCAGGAGCACGCGGCACTTCACCTCTCGCACCTGAACACCTGGCCCACATGTGGCACTGCAGGCGGACCAGGGCTCCGGAACAAACCTGCAGGCAACCGGGGAGCCCCAAGGGTCGGAGCAGGGGAGGACACGGGCCATCAGTCCAAAGAGATCACAAAGCGGGAGTGACAAGCATTCGATGAAGGAAAAAAGTAATTTCACTCAGAGAGGATTCAATATGTTTCAGAGGCTGTCCTTTTGCTGGTGCCTGAAAATGTGTCGTGGACAAACGTTCCAACCTCATCAGCAATAGAAAGAAGCTTTTACCAGAGATACATTGAACTTTTGCACCTATTTTATTTAATTCAAATTCTGTGCTCTGACCTTTGCATATCATCAATAAAAGGTTTTCTGTAAGATTTGGTCATAATAAATCATGTAGAGAGAATTTCTACTCTGAGTTCTTTTATAACATGGAGATGTTCACCAGTATTTATTCAAGAAATCTTTTTGGCACTTACCCTGTCTTAACAGGCAAAGTTTTATTAAAATGTCTTGATATTTAGGAACAAAACTGTAGGATAACAAATGCTTTCTGCAGAGCGGTGGTGGTGGTTTAGTCACTAAGTTGTGTCCAACTCTTGCGACCCCATGGACTGTAGACCACCAGGCTCCTCTGTCCATGGGATTCTCCAGGCAAGAATTCTGGAGTGGGTTGCCATTTCCTTCTCCTTCTGCAGAGTAGATGAAGCTTTAATATTCTTTTTTATTTAATATATGGGCTTCCCTGGTGGCTCAGTGGTAAAGAATCTGCCTGCCATTGCGGGAGACACAGGTTTGATTCCTGGTCCAGGAAGAGCCCCTGGAGAAGGAAATGGCAACCCACTCCAGTATTCTTGCCTAGAGAATTCCATGAACAGAAGAGCCTGGCGGGCTACAGTTTACAGGGTCTCAAAGAGTTGGACATGACTGAGCAACTAAACAATATACAGCATTTTCATATATAACAACACACAAAACTTCTGAATTTTCTTGAAACTATCATAGCTGTTGCCCAATCTGACTGAATAAAGCATGTATTTCTTATCCTGAATCTTTATCCACGAAATCACAGGGTATCCTCCTTTGGCCTACAGGTCAAATCCCGTCCACCTATTTCTGCACAGCCTAACTGCTAAGAATGATTTTCATAGTTTTAAATGGATGGAGAAGAAAAAGGATAATATTTTGTGTCATGTAAAAATGACATAAAATTCAATGTGTGTCCATAACTAAAGATTTATTGGAATACAGTCATGGTCACTTGTTCAGCCTTGTTTATGGCTGCTTTGGTGTTACGTGCCAGGTCTGAGGATTTGCAATATAGACTATTTGGCTGGCAAAACCTAAGATATTTATTATTTGGCTCTTTATAGAAAATGTTTACTGATTCCTGCACTGAATTTAAGACACAGACTCCATCGGGGCATATATTTTTAAGACAATCTGAAGCAACACTTACATCATGAGATACTAATAAGTGATAGGCTGGAAAGACAGCAGTGATTGAGTAAGTCTGGAAAACACTGTTTTCAATAATGTTCAATAGGTTTATTTACCAAAAAATTTTTCCCATAACTATGATATATGAACACATACCATACATACTCAAGGGGGGTGGATACGACGTGCATGATTTCCTAAATTTAAGTGAATATAGACCTCTATTCCTGGGAAAATGTTGTACTAAATAACTTCAGAAAAAAATGCTGCTGAGTTGTTTGCTTCAAATACATTTACAAGGCTTAATGTTTAAAATCTCAGAATGAGCTGGTTGTAAAGATCTCTCAGAATCACCTAAGCATCTCTCTCTACATGAGGCTTCACCACAGTTGTACACAAGAGCACAGCAGAATCGAAACATTATTGCTCTCCATGAGCAATAAAGAAATATCAATAACACCTCCCTTTTTTCATTTTGTTTTGTTGGAAATTGTTACTGGGAAACTATTTTCTAATCCTCATTTTCCATGACTCAGCTCCTTAGGATGGAGTTGTACTGGAGCAATATTTGCATCTTTACTCTTTTCTGTGCTTGCTGCTTTCCCATGGGAAAACTGGAAAGGAGACTGATTAAATTTAAGAAGACACATCCATACAATGTATTCAATAATAGGATGAGGTCATTGAAAAGAAGAAGGTGAATCTATGTGAATTGATAAGGAATATTCTCCTTTTGGAGGCTATTAAGTGAAATAAGTATGTGGCCTTATGAAATAAGTATCATATGCTATGATCTTTTGTCTAACTACACAAAAGGGCACAGACATGCCTATACAGTGTATATATTACATATTGTTGTTGTTCAGTCACTAAGTCATGTCCCACTCTTTGCAGTACATGGACTGCAGTACGGCAGGCTTCCCTGTCCTTCACTAACTCCCTGAATTCGCTCAAACTCATTTCCATGGAGTCAGTAATGTCATCCAACCATCTCATCCTCTATCATCCCCTTCTCCTCCTTCCCTCAATCTTTCCCAGCATCAGGATCTTTTCCAATGAGTTGGCTCTTCGCATCAGATGACCAAAGTATTGGAGCTTCAGCATCAGTTCTTCCAATGAATATTCAGGGTTGATTTCCTTTAGGATTAACTGGTTTGATCTCCTTGCAGTCCAAGGGACTTTCAAGAGTCCTCTCCAGCACCACAGTTGAGAAGCATGAATTCTTCAGTGCTCAGCCTTCTTTATGGTCCAGCTCTCACATCCATACATGACTACTTGAAAAACCATAGTCTTGACTATACAGACCTTTGTTGGCAAAGTGATCTCTGCTTTTTAACACAATGTCTGTCATAGCTTTTCTTTCAAGGAGCAAGTGTCTTTTAATTTCATGGCTGCAGTTACTGTCCACAGTGATTTTGGAGCTCAAGAAAATAAAATGTCACTTTTTCCACTTTTTCCCCATCTATTTGCCATGAAGTAATGGGATTGGATGCCATGATCTTAGCTTTCTGAATGTTGAATTTTAAGCCAGCTTTTTTACTCTCCTCTCTCTTTCATCAAGAGGCTCTATAATTCCTCTTTGCTTTCTGCCATTAGAGTGGTATCATCTGCATACCTGAGGTTGTTATTATTTCTCCCTGCAGTCTTGATGCCAGTTCATGATTCATCCAGCCCAGCATTTCTTATGATGTACTCTACATATAAGTTAAATAAGCAGGGTGACAATATACAGCCTTGACGTACTCCTTTCCCAATTTTGAACCAGTATGTTGTTTCACATCTGGTTCTAACGGTATATATTTATAGCCTCTATGTTATCTATGCTAATTTATATATGGTTTCTCTTTTCAGGAAGTAATTGTAAGAGGCGGGAACTGGAGTTTATAGAAGGAGGCTTTTACTATATTTTGTTGCTGTTTTTTTAAGATTAATTTTTATTGGAGGATAGTTGCTTTACAATGCTGTGTAGTTTCTACGTATAGCACAGTGAGCCAGCTGTATGTATACATGTATCCCCTCTTTGTTGTTTTTTTGCATTTCCTTCCCAGTTAGGTCACCACAGAGCACAGAGCACTGTGCTATACAGTAGGCTCTCATGAGCTTTCTATTTTATACATAGTATCAATAGTGTATCTACATCAATCCCAATCTCCCAATTCATCCCACCCTGTTCTTTCTGCTTTGGTGTCCATACGTTTGTTCTCTACATCTCTGTCTCTATTTCTCTTTTGCAAGTAGGATCATCTATACCATTTTATAGATTCCATATGTATGTGTTAATATCTGATATTTGTCTTTGTTAATTTTCATTTTACCCCTTTTAAAGGCTTGAACTTTCTAACCGTAAGCATACTATACTTCTGTGGTCATTAATTTTTTCTCTTTTCTCCTTCACAATAAAAACTAAAGCTGGGGATTATGTTTTAATGGGAAGTAGATTTTTTTTTTCATTCAGATTGGACTCTTATGTCTCATAGATTCAGAATCCTGAGAGACAGTGGAGTAAGTGAGAAGGCCCATCTTAATTCCCAACAGGGAACATGATGGTTACATTTGATGTTTTTCAGGTGTCCTGGATGTTTCAAGTTGGTTATCATTTTTTTTCTAAGCTTGTGGGATCTTGGTTTTCCAACCAGGGATTGAACCCCAGCCTTCAAGAGTGAAAGTCTGGAGTTCTACCCACTGGACCACCAGGGAATTCTATCAAGTTGGTTTTCAAAGATCCTTTTAAGTGTCCTCTTAAAAAACAAATATCAGAGCTGTCCAAATTATCCAGGAGTGATTTGGGGGAGGCGAGATGGGGAGTCATGGTAACTCAAAAATGTATGCATCATCCCGCATGATTTTCTTCTACGCATTATTTTTTATTTAAACAAAGGACATTATCATGTTCATGCAGTTCCGAATCTTGTTTTGTCTTTGTTCCCCCCTCCACACACACACACACACACACACACACACACACACACACACACACAATTTTTTCTTTAAAGAAAAGAAAGTCACACAGCTGCACACAAGCATTTGAAGAGTGATGTCTGGGCAAAACGACCAGAGAAACAGCATGTGACACAGGGATGTGTCTTTGCACAATGCATGCATGCGTGCTCAGTTGCTCAGTTGTGTCCAACTCCACACAGAAAAGATTTTTTTTTTTTAAAAAGAGCAATTCAAGGGACTTCTCTGATGTCTCCAGTGATTAAAAGACTTCGTCTTCCAATGAGAGGGTGCAGGATCAATCCCTGGTCAGGGAATCCCACATGCCTTGAGGCCAAAACCCCAAAACATAAAAAAAAAAAAATGAACAATTCACTTATAAGAGAGCCTAGGCAGGAGATGATAAAACCACAGAATAAAATGGAAAACTACAGAGCTGAAGAAACAAACTGTGAAACATAACATCATTAGAAACTAACAATTCAGGAACCAAGAGAAAAAAATAGAAGAAACATGGCTAAAGATCAAATTAATAACATTGAAGCAAGACTTGGAAGTGAACTCAGTGTTGAGACAGAGAAAGAAAAGTTTTAAAGCAATTAGAGGGGTGAATGGAGGGCGGGTCTGCAAAGGAAGCTTCTGGGTGATGGAGATGTTCTGTATCAAGAATGGGGCTGGCGTTCTGTG